AACTTCAGAGTAACTTAACTTCAGAGTAACTTCAGAGTATCTTCAGAGTAACTTCAGAGTGACTTCAGAGTGACTTCAGAGTAACTTCAGAGTATCTTCAGAGTAACTTCAGAGTGACTTCAGAGTGACTTCAGAGTAACTTCAGAGTCACTTCAGAGTAACTTCAGATTAACTTCAGATTAACTTCAGAGTGACTTAACTTCAGAGTGACTTCAGAGTATCTTCAGAGTAACTTCAGAGTGACTTCAGAGTGACTTCAGAGTAACTTCAGAGTCACTTCAGAGTAACTTCATATTAACTTCAGATTAACTTCAGAGTGACTTCAGAGTAACTTCAGAGTAACTTCAGAGTAACTTCAGAGTGACTTCAGAGTAACTTAACTTCAGAGTAACTTCAGAGTATCTTCAGAGTAACTTCAGAGTGACTTCAGAGTGACTTCAGAGTAACTTCAGAGTGACTTCAGAGTAATTTCAAAGTAACTTCAGATTAACTTCAGAATGACTTCAGAGTAACTTCAGAGTAACTTCAGGGTAAGAGTAACTTCAGAGTAATTTCAGAGTAACTTCAGAGTGACTTCAGAGTAACTTCAGAGTCACTTCAGAGTGACTTCAGAGTAACTTCAGAGTGACTTCAGAGTGACTTCAGAGTAACTTCAGAGTCACTTCAGAGTGACTTCAGAGTAACTTCAGAGTCACTTCAGAGTAACTTCAGATTAACTTCAGATTAACTTCAGAGTGACTTCAGAGTGACTTCAGAGTGACTTCAGAGTAACTTAACTTCAGAGTAACTTCAGAGTATCTTCAGAGTAACTTCAGAGTGACTTCAGAGTGACTTCAGAGTAACTTCAGAGTATCTTCAGAGTAACTTCAGAGTGACTTCAGAGTGACTTCAGAGTAACTTCAGAGTCACTTCAGAGTAACTTCAGATTAACTTCAGATTAACTTCAGAGTGACTTAACTTCAGAGTGACTTCAGAGTATCTTCAGATTAACTTCAGAGTGACTTCAGAGTGACTTCAGAGTAACTTCAGAGTCACTTCAGAGTAACTTCAGATTAACTTCAGATTAACTTCAGAGTGACTTCAGAGTAACTTCAGAGTAACTTCAGAGTGACTTCAGAGTAACTTAACTTCAGAGTAACTTCAGAGTATCTTCAGAGTAACTTCAGAGTGACTTCAGAGTGACTTCAGAGTAACTTCAGAGTAACTTCAGGGTAAGAGTAACTTCCGAGTAACTTTAGAGTGACTTCAGAGTAACTTCAGAGTGACTTCAGAGTAACTTCAGAGTAACTTCAGATTAACTTCAGAGTGACTTCAGAGTAACTTCAGGGTAAGAGTAACTTCAGAGTAACTTCAGAGTAAATTCAGAGTAACTTCAGATTAACTTCAGTGTGACTTCAGAGTGACTTCAGAGTAACTTAACTTCAGAGTAACTTAACTTCAGAGTGACTTCCGAGTATCTTCAGAGTAACTTCAGAGTGACTTCAGAGTGACTTCAGTGTGACTTGAGTACTTCAGAGTCACTTCAGAGTCACTTCAGAGTCACTTCAGAGTAACTTCAGAGTGACTTCAGAGTGACTTTAGAGTAACTTCAGGGTAAGAGTAACTTCAGAGTAACTTCAGAGTAACTTCAGATTAACTTCAGCGTGACTTCAGAGTAACTTCAGAGTGACTTCAGAGTAACTTAACTTCAGAGTAACTTAACTTCAGAGTGACTTCAGAGTGACTTCAGAGTAACTTCAGAGTCACTTCAGAGTCACTTCAGAGTAACTTCAGAGTAACTTCAGAGTGACTTCAGAGTGACTTTAGAGTAACTTCAGGGTAAAAGTAACTTCAGAGTAACTTCAGAGTAACTTCAGAGTAAATTCAGAGTAACTTCAGAGTAACTTCAGATTAACTTCAGCGTGACTTCAGAGTAACTTCAGAGTGACTTCAGAGTAACTTAACTTCAGAGTAACTTAACTTCAGAGTGACTTCAGAGTAACTTCAGAACTTCAGAGTGACTTCAGAGTAACTTCAGAGTAACTTCAGGGTAACTTCAGAGTAACTTCAGAGTGACTTCAGAGTAACTTCGGGGTAACAGAGTAACTTCAGAGTGACTTCAGAGTAACTTCAGAGTGACTTAACTTCAGAGTAACTTCAGAGTAACTTCAAGGTCACTTTAGTGACTTCAGAGGAACTTCAGAGTAACTTCAGAGTGACTTCAGAGTAACTTCAGAGTGACTTCAGAGTAACTTCAGTGTAACTTTAGAGTGACTTAACTTCAGAGTAACTTCAGAGTGACTTCAGAGTAACTTCAGAGTAACTTCAGATTAACTTCAGATTAACTTCAGAGTAACTTCAGAGTGAATTTAGAGCACAGGTGTCAAAGTCAAGGCCCGGGGGCCAGATCCGGCCCGCGAGACCATTTCCAGTGGCCCTTGAGATGATTTTGAATTATTATATGAAATAGCAGCATAAATGGTATTAGGCGACAATGGCATGTTATCCATTACTAAGAAAACAACCATAACATTTTAAATAATCCCATGGAAATAAAGGATTTCCCAATTTTCTTAGGAAAGAACCGCCCTCTCCCCTTTTGGAACAAATCTTTCTGGTCTTATTTGACGAGCACGAATCATCAGAATGATTGACAATTGGGAGGAGCAATAATCTTGATGATCCACTCAAAAGTATAAAATCTTCCAATATACCTTCAATATTTGGTCCAGTTTTGGTTCAGTCCAAAGAAACTGAACTAATTCTAATCAGAATAGAATATCCAATCTAATTAATGTGAAACAAGGCATTTATTTAGATACCTTCATATTCCAAAAAAAAATTATGAATTAAACCCACTTATCTTTTCGGCCCCTGACCAGCTTTTTCTTTTTTTATTCGGCCCTCAACCAAAATAAGTTTGACACCCCTGCTTTAGAGTGACTTTAGAGTGACTTCAGAGTAACTTCAGGGTAACTTCAGAGTAACATCAGAGTAACTTCAGGGTAACAGAGTGACTTCAGAGTAACTTCAGAGTGACTTCAGTGACTTCAGAGTAACTTCAGGGTAACTTCAGAGTAACTTCAGAGTAACTTCAGGGTAACTTCAGAGTGACTTCAGAGTGTCTTCAGTGTGACTTCAGAGTAACTTCAGAGCAACTTCAGAGTAATTTTAGAGTGACTTCAGAGTAACTTCAGGGTAACTTCAGAGTGACTTCAGAGTAACTTCAGAGTAACTTCAGATTAACTTCAGATTAACTTCAGAGTAACTTCAGAGTAACTTCAGAGCAACTTCAGAGTAATTTTAGAGTGACTTCAGAGTAACTTCAGGGTAACTTCAGAGTGACTTCAGAGAAACTTCAGAGTAACTTCAGAGTAACTTCAGGGTAAGAGTAACTTCAGAGTGACTTCAGAGTAATTTCAAAGTAACTTCAGGTTAACTTCAGATTAACTTCAGAATGACTTCAGAGTAACTTCAGGGTAAGAGTAACTTCAGAGTAATTTCAGAGTAACTTCAGAGTAACTTCAGAGTAAGAGTAACTTCAGAGCAACTTTAGAATAAATTCAGAGTAACTTCAGAGTAACTTCAGAGTGACTTCAGAGTAGTAGTAAGTAATCTTTATTTATATACCGCCTTTTCACTGCAGATCTGAGTCTCAAAGCGGTTTACAATTGTTATTTTTTGGGCACTTGTCTCTCAATCCACACAGAGATGGGAGCGGGGTCGCCGAACAGGAGGCGCATGCTAGAACTATTGGACATATTTTTAGTGGTAGGGGAAACCGGAGTACACGGAGGAAACCTACGCAGACACGGGGAGAACATACAAACTCCACTCAGAAAGGCCCTGGTCCGACTGGGATTCGAACCCAGGACCTTCTTGCTGAGAGGCGAGAGTGCTATCCACTCAGCCACCGTGCCGCCCGCTTGTGACTTCTGAGTGACTTCAGAGTAACTTAACTTCAGAGTAACTTCAGAGTATCTTCAGAGTAACTTCCGAGTAACTTCAGTGACTTCAGAGTAACTTCAGAGTAACTTCAGAGTAACTTCAGAGTGACTTCAGAGTAACTTCAGAGTAACTTCAGAGTAACTTCAGAGTGACTTCAGAGTGACTTCAGAGTAACTTCAGATTAACTTCAGATTAACTTCAGAGTGACTTAAAGAAGCTATACCCGATTTTTTTTCTAAGTAGTTCATAAAAATGCTTTTTACTACATACAAGTTGTATCATAATACATCATTTAATTGAAAACTTGAGGTAATTGATTCAGCTGTGTAAGAATTACAAGCAGTGAAAAGTGCTGAGTAGAGTCTGAGCGGGCCGCTCTTTCTCCTCCGCTCACAGAACGAGCAGTGAACAGCCTGCGTCCTCTAGCCCCTACAGCGCTGCTTAACACCAGGGTTCGACTTCAAAATACGAATATAATTCTAAAATAAAAACATGAACAAAATAATTGAATAAAAAATGTGAACAAATCTTAGACAACCATTGTAATTCGAAATGTATTTAATGACTGCAAATAAAATAGTTAGCTCCCAAAGGTTTCACCGGGACGTGCTAGGCAGGTAACAGCTAAGCTAGCTAGTTGTTTCATGGTAACTTCCGGGTTTTTCGCAATCGCTTTTTGTCACATTGAAACAGTATTTTTGTCATGAAAACGTTAACAGCAAATTCAGAAATCATCCGTGCATGTGTGTTAAGGATGTATATGTGTACTGTATTGTCCGATTGACGTTTAATGGTGTTGATTGATAGATATGTAGTTGTTTATTGAGCGTGGCTAGCTCCGCTAGCTTCTCTACACAGACAAGTGTATAGTGACAGGTACTGATAGCTTGTTGTACTTGCAGAGTAATGGCAGTATTTTACACACCTGAATTACAAACAGAGGTTGCATTGGGGCTTCGGTCATTATTGGTTTGAGAGTTCTGTTATCAAGAAAAAATGATCGGAAGAATTGCTGCTGCTGCTTTGAGGAGCTCTATAACACATTATAATTAAATATTAGAATATATTGTAAGGTTAAGGCCCCACAGACCCCTCAGACCTGGCCACGGCCCCCACAGACCCTCGGCCCCACAGACCCCACAGGCCCCACAGACCCCACAGACCCCTCAGACCCCCCTCAGACCCCTCAGGCCCCACATAGCCCCTCAGGCCCCTCAGACCCCTCAGGCCCCCCAGACGACCCTCAGGCCCCACAGACCCGTCAGCCCCACAGACCCCTCATACCCCTCATGCCCAACATGCCCCCTGGCCGCTCAGGCCCACAGGACCCCCTCAGACACCCTCAGTGCCCCACAGGCCCCTCAGCCGCTCAACCCCTCAGAGCCCCTCAGGCCCCCAAAGACCCTCAGACCCCTCCAGCACACCCTCAGATGAAGACCCCTCAGACCCCCTCAGTCGACCTGGCCACGGCTCGGTCTGTACCTTGTCTGTAGTTTTTATACTGTGTTCTGTAGTCCCGTTTCTAACGTTTGTATGTCATGTTTGAGTCCTATCCAAGCAGTTAACATGCTAACGTGTGGTGTATGTGTATGTATAAGTGTTATTACCTAGTTTGTGTTGCGAGTGCAGACAGTTTTAAGATTCAAATGCTAGTCGTTTTTTTCTAGCCGTTAAACCAGAGACTTTCCCGCCGTTGGAGGCGCATTCCGTTAAAATGGCCGACCTGCTTGTGTGTGTGTGTGTGTGTGTGTGTGTGTGAGGCAGGGAGAGATAGAGAGAGACTAAGAGAGACAGACAGGAATTAAGTGAAATGTCTATTTTTATGCATTTTCTGCACTGAAGTAGCTGTTGTGTGGAGTGAATGTATAAATGTATGTTTTATTATTTTATGTAATTATATGTATTTTCAGTTGCACTTTTTGGGTTATTTTAGAATTTATTATTTTTGTATTTTTGTCTATTTATATTTTATTTTTTGTGGTCCAATTGTATATTTTTGTGTGTATTAATGTTGAAAGATTTGAATGACTCAGAAGTAAAGAAGCTGTGGCCTGATAAACACGTCTCCTCTCTGTCTATCCACAGACAGAGAAGTCATCTGTGTGCGCACTTGTTACTGCCCAGCTTCCCCTAGGGCTGGTGCCGGTAACAATTGGGCCTGAGGGGCCCGACACCTCAGGTCCCTCAGACCCCTCAGGTCCCTCAGACCCCTCAGGCCCCTCAGGTCCCTCAGGCCCCTCAGGTCCCTCAGGTCCCTCAGGCCCCTCAGGCCCCTCAGGCCCCTCAGGCCCCTCAGGCCCCTCAGGCCCCTCAGGCCCCTCAGGCCCCTCAGGTCCCTCAGGTCACTCAGGCCCCTCAGGTCCCTCACTCCCACCCTCACCCCCACCTTCATCCTTACCCCCACTGTCAGCCTCACCCCCACCTTCACCCATAATGTGACAGACAGTAATGTAACTGACCATAATGCAGATCACAGGTACAGTCAGATCACAGGTACAGTCACAGGTACAGTCAGATCACTGGTACAGTCAGATCACAGGTACAGTCAGATCACAGGTACAGTCAGATCACAGGTACAGGGCAGGAGAAACAGCTGGAGATCTTTACAGATCACAGGTACAGTCAGATCACAGGTACAGTCAGATCACAGGTACAGTCAGATCACAGGTACAGGGCAGATCACAGGTACAGTCAGATCACAGGTACAGGGCAGATCACAGGTACAGGGCAGATCACAGGTACAGGGCAGGAGGAACAGCTGGAGATCTTTACAGATCACAGGTACAGTCAGATCACAGGTACAGTCAGATCACAGGTACAGTCAGATCACAGGTACAGGGCAGATCACAGGTACAGTCAGATCACAGGTACAGGGCAGATCACAGGTACAGGGCAGATCACAGGTACAGGGCAGGAGGAACAGCTGGAGATCTTTACAGATCACAGGTACAGTCAGATCACAGGTACAGGGCAGATCACAGGTACAGTCAGATCACAGGTACAGGGCAGATCAGAGGTACAGGGCAGATCACAGGTACAGTCAGATCACAGGTACAGTGCAGATCACAGGTACAGTCAGATCACAGGTACAGTCAGATCACAGGTTCAGTCAGATCACAGGTACAGTCAGATCACAGGTACAGTCAGATCACAGGTACAGGGCAGATCACAGGTACAGTCAGATCACTGGTACAATCAGATCACTGGTACAGTCAGATCACAGGTTCAGTCAGATCACAGGTACAGTCAGATCACAGGTACAGGGCAGATCACAGGTACAGGGAAGATCACAGGTACAGGGAAGATCACAGGTACAGGGCAGATCACAGGTACAGTCAGATCACAGGTACAGGGCAGATCACAGGTACAGTCAGATCACAGGTACAGTGCAGATCACAGGTACAGGGCAGATCACAGGTACAGTCAGATCACTGGTACAGGGCAGATCACAGGTACAGTCAGATCACAGGTACAGTCAGATCACTGGTACAGTCAGATCACAGGTACAGTCAGATCACAGGTACAGGGCAGGAGAAACAGATGGAGATCTTAACAAATCACAGGTACAGTCAGATCACAGGTACAGGGCAGATCACAGGTACAGTCAGATCACAGGTACAGGGCAGATCACAGGTACAGGGCAGGAGGAACAGCTGGAGATCTTTACAGATCACAGGTACAGGGCAGGAGGAACAGCTGGAGATCTTTACAGATCACAGGTACAGTCAGATCACAGGTACAGTCAGATCACAGGTACAGTCAGATCACAGGTACAGTCAGATCACTGGTACAGTCAGATCACAGGTACAGTCAGATCACAGGTACAGGGCAGATCACAGGTACAGGGCAGATCACAGGTACAGGGTAAATCACTGGTACAGTCAGATCACAGGTACAGGGCAGATCACAGGTACAGTCAGATCACAGGTACAGTCAGATCACAGGCACAGGGCAGATCACAGGTACAGTCAGATCACAGGTACAGTCAGATCACAGGTTCAGTCAGATCACAGGTACAGTCAGATCACTGGTACAGTCAGATCACAGGTACAGTCAGATCACAGGTACAGTCAGATCACAGGCACAGGGCAGATCACAGGTACAGGGCAGATCACAGGTACAGTCAGATCACAGGCACAGGGCAGATCACAGGTACAGGGCAGATCACAGGTACAGTCAGATCACAGGTACAGTCAGATCACAGGTACAGTCACAGGTACAGTCAGATCACAGGTACAGGCAGATCACAGGTACAGGGCAGATCACAGGTACAGTCAGATCACAGGTACAGTCACAGGTACAGTCAGATCACAGGTACAGGCAGATCACAGGTACAGGCAGATCACAGGTACAGGGCAGATCACAGGTACAGTCAGATCACAGGTACAGTCAGATCACTGGTACAGTCAGATCACAGGTACAGTCAGATCACAGGTACAGTCAGATCACAGGTTCAGTCAGATCACAGGTACAGGCAGATCACAGGTACAGTCAGATCACAGGTACAGTCAGATCACAGGTACAGTCAGATCACAGGTACAGGGCAGATCACAGGTACAGGGAAGATCACTGGTACAGTCAGATCACAGGTACAGGGCAGATCACAGGTACAGTGCAGATCACAGGTACAGGGCAGATCACAGGTACAGTCAGATCACAGGTACAGTGCAGATCACAGGCACAGGGCAGATCACAGGCACAGTCAGATCACAGGTACAGTCAGATCACAGGTACAGTCAGATCACTGGTACAGTCAGATCACAGGTACAGTCAGATCACAGGTACAGTCAGATCACAGGCACAGGGCAGATCACAGGTACAGTCAGATCACAGGTACAGTCAGATCACAGGTTCAGTCAGATCACAGGTACAGTCACAGGTACAGGCAGATCACAGGTACAGGGCAGATCACAGGTACAGTCACAGGTACAGGCAGATCACAGGTACAGTCAGATCACAGGTACAGTCAGATCACAGGTACAGGGCAGATCACAGGTACAGGGAAGATCACTGGTACAGTCAGATCACAGGTACAGTCAGATCACAGGTACAGTCAGATCACAGGTACAGTCAGATCACTGGTACAGTCAGATCACAGGTACAGTCAGATCACAGGTACAGTCAGATCACAGGTACAGTCAGATCACAGGTACAGTCAGATCACAGGTTCAGTCAGATCACTGGTACAGTCAGATCACAGGTACAGTCAGATCACAGGTACAGTCAGATCACTGGTACAGTCAGATCACAGGTACAGTCAGATCACAGGTACAGTCAGATCACAGGTACAGTCAGATCACAGGTTCAGTCAGATCACTGGTACAGTCAGATCACAGGTACAGTCAGATCACAGGTACAGTCAGATCACTGGTACAGTCAGATCACAGGTACAGTCAGATCACAGGTACAGTCAGATCACTGGTACAGTCAGATCACAGGTACAGTCAGATCACAGGTACAGTCAGATCACTGGTACAGTCAGATCACAGGTACAGTCAGATCACAGGTTCAGTCAGATCACAGGTTCAGTCAGATCACTGGTACAGTCAGATCACAGGTACAGTCAGATCACAGGTACAGTCAGATCACTGGTACAGTCAGATCACAGGTACAGTCAGATCACTGGTACAGTCAGATCACAGGTACAGTCAGATCACAGGTACAGTCAGATCACAGGTACAGTCAGATCACAGGTACGGGCAGATCACAGGTACAGTCAGATCACAGGTACAGTCAGATCACAGGTACGGGCAGATCACAGGTACAGGGCAGATCACAGGTACAGTCAGATCACAGGTACAGTCAGATCACAGGTACAGTCAGATCACAGGTACAGTCAGATCACAGGTACAGTCAGATCACAGGTTCAGTCAGATCACAGGTACAGTCAGATCACAGGTACAGTCAGATCACAGGTTCAGTCAGATCACAGGTACAGTCAGATCACAGGTACAGTGCAGATCACAGGTACAGTCAGATCACAGGTTGTCAGATCACAGGTACAGTCAGATCACAGGTACAGTCAGATCACAGGTTCAGTCAGATCACAGGTACAGTCAGATCACAGGTACAGTGCAGATCACAGGTACAGTCAGATCACAGGTTCAGTCAGATCACAGGTTCAGTCAGATCACAGGTACAGTGCAGATCACAGGTACAGTCAGATCACAGGTTCAGTCAGATCACAGGTTCAGTCAGATCACAGGTACAGTCAGATCACAGGTACAGTCAGATCACAGGTTCAGTCAGATCACAGGTACAGTCAGATCACAGGTACAGTGCAGATCACAGGTACAGTCAGATCACAGGTTCAGTCAGATCACAGGTTCAGTCAGATCACAGGTACAGTCAGATCACAGGTACAGTCAGATCACAGGTACAGTCAGATCACAGGTACAGTCAGATCACAGGTTCAGTCAGATCACAGGTACAGTCAGATCACAGGTACAGTGCAGATCACAGGTACAGTCAGATCACAGGTTCAGTCAGATCACAGGTACAGTCAGATCACAGGTACAGTCAGATCACAGGTACAGTCAGATCACAGGTACAGTCAGATCACAGGTTCAGTCAGATCACAGGTACAGTCAGATCACAGGTACAGTCAGATCACAGGTACAGTGCAGATCACAGGTACAGTCAGATCACAGGTACAGGCAGATCACAGGTACAGTCAGATCACAGGTACAGTGCAGATCACAGGTACAGTCAGATCACAGGTACAGTCAGATCACAGGTACAGTCAGATCACAGGTACAGTCAGATCACAGGTACAGTCAGATCACAGGTACAGTCAGATCACAGGTTCAGTCAGATCACAGGTACAGTGCAGATCACAGGTACAGTCAGATCACAGGTACAGGCAGATCACAGGTACAGTCAGATCACAGGTACAGTCAGATCACAGGTACAGTCAGATCACAGGTACAGTCAGATCACAGGTACAGTCAGATCACAGGTACAGTGCAGATCACAGGTACAGTCAGATCACAGGTACAGGCAGATCACAGGTACAGTCAGATCACAGGTACAGTGCAGATCACAGGTACAGTCAGATCACAGGGACAGGCAGATCACAGGTACAGTCAGATCACAGGTACAGTCAGATCACAGGTACAGTCAGATCACAGGTACAGGGCTGGGAGGAGTGTGCAGTCTGAAACCCAACTACAGGAAGAAGCCCTTTTCAACACCCACTGAGATCTAAAACAGAGAAGTGTTTTAGAACAGACATATAGTTATTGTTTGTTATAACTTAAATATCTCACAAAGTCAGCAGAAGAGAAATAGTAACCACCAAACAGAAAGATGCTAGTATAAGCTCTGTTTTACTGGAGTTGTCCATGTGAACGTGTCAGCGACACAACATTTAGCAAGTTCGCTTTCACAGACAAACACATCATGTTCTAATATAATGTGAAAGTCTATAACATGTCTCTATGACATATTTCTAATCATTTAGCACATCATTTAGGCCTTTTTTACACCTGTTTGGGCTTCGTGCGTCGTAGCTAACGCTAACTTAGCTTTTAGCTGCTAAGTTATGTCTTACCTTGGTACTTGTGTATATATTCTTCATCGCAGAACCCCTTCTCTCGTTTATCTGTCCACGAATTCACCTCTGACTAATGTTGGCAAAAATATTAGAGCCGTTTCTCCATAGTCCGGCGCAAACAGGAAGTGCTACCTCCCTAAGAGGCGGGACTTCCGGTTCTCGTGAAAAAGGTTTATGATTAGATCGATATGAAACAAAAAACCCCTTTTGACACGTTTGACTTCTCTGTGTGTAGGACTCCTGGGAGACAGCAACACAACAGGTAACACACACTCAAAGACACACACACACTGAAAGACACACACACAAAGACAGGCACACACACACTCAAAGACAGACACACACACACACAAAGACACACACACACAGAGACATGCAGACACACACAAAGACAGACACACACAAAGACAGACACACACACACACTCATAGACACACACACACACAGCTCACACACACACACACAACAACAGCTCGGTGTTGTTGTGGTCCTGTGTAATAACCCATGTCCCTGTGAGCAGGGCCTCTCGGTCTGAGGCTGGAGGGAGGAGCCGGCCGCTGTCAGGGGGAGGTGCAGCTGCAGAGACCAGGTCTGGACTGGACTACAGTGCATCCAGAAGATGTTATCCTGGAGTTTGGATCCAGAATCTGCTCTGCTCTGGACTGTGGCTCCGCTCTGTCTGTGAGGGGAAGACCAAACTCTAAACAAACATCTGTGGAAGTCAAACATGAGTGTGAGGAGACTGAACTGATGGACTGCTTTGAGGATCCATCTTCATCATCACAGAGTCTGGAACTCAAGTGCTCAGGTGAGAAACCTCAGCCTCATTCGGACTCAGCCTGGTCCTTCACCAGTCTCTGGGTTTTGGATCCAGGTGTTTTGTTGTATCCAGATGTTTGTGATGAAGTCCTCTGTGTCTCAGAGTCTGTGCGGCTGGTTGGAGGCTCTGGTCTCTGCTCTGGATCACTGCAGATCTGGGACCAGTCCTGGACCTCGGTCTGTGAAGGGGCCTTGGACCTGAGGGGAGCAGAGGTGCTGTGCAGGGAGCTGGACTGCGGGGCTCCTTCTTTCCTCCAGGGGGCGCTCTCTCCTCTGGGGCAGACGTTCCACTGTGAGGGCCATGAGTCTGCTCTGATGGACTGTCCCCGCTCCAGACCCAAGACCTGCTCCTCTGGACCCAGTGTGAACATCACCTGCTCAGGTGAGGGGGCGGGGCTCAGGTGAGGGGGCGGGGCTCAGGTGAGAGGGGCAGGGCTCAGGTGAGAGGGGTGGGGCTCAGGTGAGGGGGGTGGGGCTCAGGTGAGGGGGTGGGGCTCAGGTCAGGGGGTGGGGCTCAGGTGAGGGGGCGGGGCTCAGGTGAGAGGGGTGGGGCTCAGGTGAGGGGGCGGGGCTCAGGGGAGGGGGCGGGGCTCAGGTGAGAGGGGCAGGGCTCAAGTGAGAGGGGTGGGGCTCAGGTGAGGGGGTGGGGCTCAGGTGAGGGGGTGGGGCTCAGGTCAGGGGGTGGGGCTCAGGTGAGGGGGCGGGGCTCAGGTGAAGGGGTGGGGCTCAGGTGAGGGGGCGGGGCTCAGGTGAGGGGGCGGGGCTCAGGTGAGGGGGGGGGGGCTCAGGTGAGGGGGTGGGGCTCAGGTCAGGGGGTGGGGCTCAGGTGAGGGGGCGGGGCTCAGGTGAGAGGGGTGGGGCTCAGGTGAGGGGGCGGGGCTCAGGTGAGGGGGCGGGGCTCAGGTGAGAGGGGCAGGGCTCAGGTGAGAGGGGTGGGGCTCAGGTGAGGGGGTGGGGCTCAGGTGAGGGGGTGGGGCTCAGGTCAGGGGGTGGGGCTCAGGTGAGGGGGCGGGGCTCAGGTGAGAGGGGTGGGGCTCAGGTGAGGGGGCGGGGCTCAGGTGAGGGGGCGGGGCTCAGGTGAGGGGGGTGGGGCTCAGGTGAGGGGGTGGGGCTCAGGTCAGGGGGTGGGGCTCAGGTGAGGGGGCGGGGCTCAGGTGAGAGGGGCGGGGCTCAGGTGAGGGGGCGGGGCTCAGGTGAGGGGGTGGGGCTCAGGTGAGGGGGCGGGGCTCAGGTGAGGGGGCGGGGCTCAGGTGAGGGGGTGGGGCTCAGGTGAGGGGGTGGGGCTCAGGTGAGGGGGTGGGGCATGGAAGTCCTAATAGAGAGATTGTTATGACCAATAACATTTTGATCAAACGTAGTTGACAAACCTAAAAGTTCAGACCCATATTCAGTGTATGTCTGTGTTCAGAGCCGCTGAGGCTGATGACAGGGGCCCGTCGCTGTGCTGGGACCGTGGAGGTCAGAGAGAGCGGAGAATGGAGACCAGTGTTTAAACCAGACTACTGGACCCTGGGTCACACTGAGGCCGTCTGCAGAGACCTGGACTGTGGATCTGTTGTTTCTGTAGAAGAGGATCATTCACAGACTAGTGTCTGGGGGATCTCTGAGCTCTGCGTGGAGAGGAGGAAGTCTGCAGCGAGAGAGTGTCTGTGGGCATCAGATATCTATTCTCCCCCGGCTCTGGGGGTGGTGTGTTCAGGTAAGACTCATGTTCTTCATGTTTATTTCTGTTTTGGGTTGAGAGCTCGGTGCTTGCAGGGCTGTGATTGGCCTAGTCTCACTGCTGCTTCTGTCAAATCAGTAATCATCCATCCAACTTCTTCCCCATAATCCATTTCTGGGTCGGGCAGGAGGATCACTGCTCCTCACTGCTCCTCCTGCTCCTCCTTGATCCTCACTGATCCTCCTGCTCCTCACTGCTCCTCCTGCTCCTCCTTGATCCTCACTGATCCTCCTGATCCTCACTGCTCCTCCTGCTCCTCCTTGATCCTCACTGATCCTCCTGCTCCCCACTGCTCCTCCTGCTCCTCACTGCTCCTCCTGCTCCTCCTTGATCCTCACTGATCCTCCTGCTCCTCCTTGATCCTCACTGATCCTCCTGCTCCTCACTGCTCCTCCTGCTCCTCACTGCTCCTCCTGCTCCTCCTTGATCCTCACTGATCCTCCTGCTCCTCACTGCTCCTCACTGCTCCTCACTGCTCCTCCTGCTCCTCCTGCTCATCTTAATATTGTGTGTATGTTTCTGTGTGTGTGTATGTTTCTATGTCTGTGTGTTTCTGTGTGTGTGTATGTTTCTGTGTGTGTGTGTGTGTTTCTGTGTGTGTGTTGTTATAGAATTATATACCCCATGAAGGAGAAAACTCAAAGGTCCTTTGTCTGATCAAAAGCGTAAGTTTATTGTTAACGCACGTGCGGAGAGCCAGCACATCCACTCCAAGGCAGCATGTCCCAGCTCTGGGGGCCAGAGCCCCGAGCTTCCTGTCTACAAGACACACACGAAAGCCAGTCCCGCCCACAACAGATGGGAGGGGGGCCACCGGTGCAGGAGGCGCATAGGGATGCAAACAGACTGCAGGATGTAGAGAGTGCACACATACAGACCGATACATATGCAAGAGGTGAAAGGGGGCAAGAGTGATAGCCATTGTCTGTAGGTGTCGGGGGGGCCCGGCTCCTTCCTGGCAGCAGGGACATATGGATAGGAGCAGGCATACCGATTCAAGATACGAAAGACACAAGGGTGTGACAGACAGCAGGGGGCCCTCACAAAGCTCAGCATGGCGTCAGAAGGGCGTCTCTGCATTGATAAAAGGCCTTTGACGTCCGTGTATTTGCTGCGGCTGGTTTTATGTAATTACTCCAAAAACTGTCACCACACTCCCCTCTTTTGATAATTCAAAACCATTTTTGCATTAATCAGTTAAATACCAGAGGCATCGTAATCACACCACCTTCAAGCTTGAAACACTTAAATTATTGCTGTCCAAAGTGGACAAGAAAAGAAACATGCTTGTCAATAAAAGAAAGAGCACATTATAATAACACAATGGATCCGGACAGCGATAAGAGAAGACAATATTAACATAATAAACACGGTCAGCACGGAAAGTAGTGTCAGTGTGGCCAGCATAACAGTCCAAGGGCCCATGCCGGTCTTAGCCGGGCTACGTTCGGTAGTCTTTTCCGCGGGAATACTCACGAGCAGTGCCGTCTCGCAGTCAGTGGCACCGCTCCCTATGAGCGTGTGTGGAGCGTTAGTGGTCATGGCGATGTTTGGTCTTGGAGCGGCAAGACTCTAATTGCGTTGAAGCCTTGGCCTCAGCACTCGGTTGGGCAGAGTGCTCGGGGTTTGGGGTGTGGAGACCATGGCTTGAGCACGCTCCAGATCGGCCAGGCCCAAAGCTCGTTTGATGGGAGACCTCATGACAGCACGCTTCACCATGTGCCTCATCAGGAACTGTAGAGCAGCCCTCATCTCCACCTCCTCCGGACACACGGGAGACGAGACACCAGGGGGCACTCCAGCAGAGCTCAAATCTGCATTATGGCCAGAGGGAGCAAGCTCTGGAGAAATCTTTGGAATGGGCAGCAGCTCTGCATACTTGCTGCAGCTGAGCAGAGCGCTCAGGGCCTTCATGGCTCCCAAGCCTTGGGATCCGGGGGCTGGGGAGTTGGGCAGAAGGGGGGTCGCCTCGGGTACGCTGGGATTCTCTGGGTGTTGTTGTTGGCCTGCTTCACCGACGGTGGCCGCACGCCGGCCAACTTCTTCAGCGTAGGGAGCCGCGGATGGGCCTGGTCCGTCCGCGCCCTCGGTGTCCTCGTCTATGGCCCTCAGTGGCAGCCCCGCACGACAGTGGTTGGCGTGGATCCAAGTTGTCCTCTCCGCGACCTTAACGGCAGTGTCCGTCACCAGGAGGGCGAGGAATGGGCCGAGCCAGCGCTTGGACCGCCAGTGCTTTCGTCTCGTTTCCTTCACCAGGGCCCAGTCGCCTGCGCAGCCTGTGGCAGGGCGCTCCTGACCTGGGCAGAAATAGAGGACAAAAGTGCATTAATTTCCTTACAATAGGACAGCATGTCGTCATCACACAAAGAGGTGCTTGGCAGATCTCTGTTCGGGGGTCCCGCGCCCAACGTGGGGCTAGCGGCAGAGCTTTGAGTGCCATTCTCTCGCTCGCACGTGCCTCCGGACCAGGGGGCGTAACTGCAGTGTTTACGTATATCAATGCCCAGAAATTCACCCACTTCCTCAATGACTTTTGCTACAAAGTGACTGCCATTGTCCCTAGAGATTTTCCCTCGAGACACCCCATCGTGGCACGATTTCTGTGAGCAGAGCTTTCACCACCGCGTTGCTCGTGGCGTGTATGCCTGCAAATACTTCAGTCCATTTGGACCAGAGATCCGCCAGGCCCAGACAGTATTACTTACTTTGGCATGGTGTGAGTTCAACAAAGTCCCTTTGGACATGTTGAAATGGGCGCAGGGGCGGAGGATGAGCAGCCTGTTGGATACTTTTGGGACTTACCTGGGTTGTGCGCGGGGCATATAGCGCATGTTTGGCTGAATCTCTGTGCAAATGCCGTAAACCCCTTTGTATACCAATTTTGTGTGATTAAATCACACATCATCCCTCCTTTTGAGGCATGGTCTCGACCATGTGCTAAAATTGCAAACTGTCTGAAGAAATGCCGTGGTAGGCACGGTTTGCTGTCTGGTCCCAGCCACACACACCATGCCGTCGTTGAGCCCCATTCCCCTCCCACAGCAGCGTCTCTGCTGGAGTAGAAAATATCAACGTCTTGAGTGAGGTAGTGTGTGTGTGTGTGTGTAGAGGTGCGTATGCCGCTGCCTTGTCCGCGCGCCGATTCCCTGCAGAGATGGGATCAGTGGCATTAGTGTGGGCCTGGCATTTGCATACAGCGATCTCTAAGGGCAACATTACAGCTCTCAGCAGACGTTCAACCTGTGTGGAATTAAGAATTGGTTTACCATCAGATTTCATAAAATTGCGGTGTTTCCACAGTGCTTCCCAGTCGTGCACCACAGAGAAACCATAACGCGTATCACAGAATATGTTAACCGTTTTGCCCGCTGCCAGCCCCGGTGGGCGCGACCAGTTCAGCGGTTTGTGCTGAATGGTAGTGGGGCAAACTACCAGAGTCTATAGTATCAAAATCAGAACACACAGCATAGCCGACTCGGTTCTTCCCAGTGTTGTCACGTGACGCGGCTCCGTCTGTATAAAAAAATCAAGTCAGGATTAGTCAGAGGCACCTCTTTCAGGTCTGGCCTGGGAGTGCATATCTGTTCTATTGTGGCGATACAGCAGTGTGCCTCCCCTTCCTCTGGCGTGGGCAGCAGCGAGGGGGGGTTCAGCTGTGTGCATCCCTTCACCGTAGTTCAAAGAGCACCGTGTTGTACCCCAGCCAACGAGCCGCAGAAAGGCGAGAGGCCCTCTGCTCTAACAGGATCAGGGAAACAGCATGGGGCACAAGCAAAGTTAGTTCAGTGTATCCCACAAGGTCACGTGATGCTAGGGCCGCTTTCTCAGCGGCAGCCACAGCCCGCAGGCAGCGAGGCAACCCTGCTGCCACGGGATCGAGTTTTGCTGAGAAGTAAGCAGTGGGTCTCAGTGGCCCTCCGTGAGACTGCAAAAGTACCGACACCATGCACCCACATCGCTCATCCACAGTCTGAGTGAATGGCCAGGTTGGGTCAGGGAGACCTAGTGTGTGTGTGTAGATTTGCTGTTCCGTTCATCTCCAGTTGCTTTCTCCCGGATCGTCCTCAATTCATATTGTGGGCTTTTGTGCCAAAGTGGAGGCTCATTTCCTCCTGATCCATACTACTGTCATCCCTGGAGCAGGGGTAGTTTATCTCTCATCTGAAAAAGAAATATCAGAACACAAAAAAAACGCAAAAAATGCCCACTTTCGCTTGTCAATCTTTTTCCCAATTGGGCAAAACATAACTGCATTGACAGACGGTGTGTGGCATCAGGGCGGAGGCTGTAGCCAGATACAGAACAACAAAATGTATGTTTCTAATTTTATACTCCCCTAAATGTGAGTTACAAACCAAAGTTGTCCTCCGCCCAATGACCGCTCACTGCGGTTGGACCGAATCACTGTCAGGGCAAACAGCAGAGGGAGGAACTCCCAATATCTTCAGCGAGGTATTTCATCTCCGAGTACTTTCCGCAGAGTACTTTTCTCAGAGTACTCATCCCAGAGTACTCTCACTTTTACACCTGTTCAATAAAGGTCGTTATCTTTGAATCTCTAGTACTTACACCGTATGCTGTTGACAAAAAAGAATTATTCCATGATCACATTAAAACATTACAGACACATTTGTTATTCCATGATTCCGTTCAGCATTCCTCATTTCACACTCCACACTCACATCACACTCACATCACACTCATATCACAGTCACATCACAGGCCGGTTCCCCACGTTAGTATTGGTCCAGAGTTTGTTAAGGTCAGCGTAGTGTACTTTGACATGACACACAAACATATAACATACACAAAACATATAACACACAAACATGTAACACACACAGAAGGCCTGTACTTTTAACTTTGTTATATTTTTCCATGTCCAATTCCAATTGTCTCATGAGCTATTTCTATTGTTGCAACTTTCAGAGCCTGCAGAGCTTTAAAAGAGTTTTCCTAAAAAAAAGAAATCCATTTCCAACTTTAGTGTTTACCACGTGGTCTGTAGTCGGGCTTATCACAAATGGTGTCCCCTATATCTCT